GCGACTGTCTGTCCATCTGTCCGTCCGTCTGTGCACACGGTAACTCGTGTGGTATTGAAAAATGGGTAAAATCGGACAATAACCACGCCTACCTCCCATATAAAGGTAATTTTCAGAAATACGAAAACTTCGATATTTTAGTAACTACTGAAGATTATTCACTCAACATTGATATTTACAATAAGTTTTAGACGATAAATAAGAATGTTTTTTCTGGTTTCTTTTCGAGCCTGAGGTCAAGTTTTTATTTTTGTTTTACAAGTGTCCGATATTTCGGCTCTCAACGAAAGCCATCTTCAGGGACTATTAGAAGAAAAAAGAAAAACTTAAAAGCAAAACTAAAATAAAGCATAAAAGACCAAAGAAAATATATATTATTTTTGCGTAGATGATTTCATCCTATGCTGTCAAGTGGCTGGACTTCGACTGACTTTATGTTAGTTTTGCTTTTAAGTTTTTCTTTTTTCTTTTAATAGTCCCTGAAGATGGCTTTCGTTGAGAGCCGAAATATCGGACACTTGTAAAACAAAAATAAAAACTTGACCTCAGGCTCGAAAAGAAACCAGAAAAAACATTCTTATTTATCGTCTAAAACTTATTGTAAATATCAATGTTGAGTGAATAATCTTCAGTAGTTACTAAAATATNCTACGCCCACTTATTGTCACATGTGTATATCTTGGTAACCGCTGTACCAATTTCTTCCAAATTCGGCACAGTTATTGGCCTTGGTATAACATACGAAATCGCCGAGTATTTTGAAAATCGGTAATTTAGAGAAATATGAAATCTTCGATAAATCAGTAAATATTAAAGCTAATTATTAATTAATTATTAAAAAATTAATGCTTGCAATAATTCTTTACTAAGAAATACGTTAATGATAAAATTTTGGAAAACGGGCGTGGCACCGCCCACTTATGATCACGTATAGGTATATTGGTAACCGTTATAGCAATTTGTACCAAACTCGGTATTTTTATTGTGCTTGCCACATAAAAGCAAAACGTTGAAAATTATTGAAATCGGACTAAAATTACGACCGCTTTTCATATAACGGTTAATTTCAGAAATGCTTGAAACTTAAATATTTCGAAATTTAAGGACGCTAATTTACTCAAAATTGATACACCCCGGCTCACCATGTAGCGTTAGCTTTCGGAAAGGTGAAAAACATATATTTAATACTTGCGCCGGGTATTTAATGTTCGGCTCCGCTCGAACTTAGACTTTATTACTTGTTCTGTATAAATTTGTCGATAGCTTTACAAATTTCGTCGCTAGTGGTGTAAGTCTGAAGTAGTTCGTTCTTCTTCGATTTGCATTGTGAATGGGTACCTCACTAACACGAGAAGACTGCATCTAAAATCTTGTTGATTCGCTCTTTGACAGAGTGATTGTTAAGTTCCAAAGAATAAGTAATATATACACGTGCGCGAAGCTGCTGCGCTTGTTACGAGAACAGCCCAGGCAGCAAAACATCCGAAAATTAATCCCAAAACGGGAAGAAAGGTGGAGGAAGCGCGGATTAGGTCTACAAAAGTACCGAAAGCGGTTGTGAAAAGGGTACGTTTTCGGCTATTTTTCTGAAAATTTTCTGATTCAATTTTACGTTGACAAAACGTAATGGGGAACTACGCTTAAGAGCGAAATATCCCTTTGCTACAAGCTTTTTGTAATGTGTATGGGGTTTGACGAGCCGCTGAAGGTAATTTTAATAAAAATCAAAATTTTTTTATTTTCTGGCCGCCATGTTGAAGTTGATCAAACCGCTTGCGTTGTGTATGGAAAGTCTAAAGAATTTGCCCGCAACACTAGTATACTCTGGCCACTAGCGGCACCCCAGGCACACGCTCGAATGAATAGAGGGATGGAGAAGAGGTGGCGGTGTGTATGTAAAGCAACCCAGTAGAAATTGCTTGTATGCACTCTTGAGGGATGCTTGCTATATGAGTGAATTAGTGTGAACAATTCATGCGTAGTCATGAATTTCCACGAATAAATTCAAATTCTAGCGAATTGCAAGCGAATGTACGTTGTCGTTGTTTTAAGCACATTTCTTGATAAATTTGAAGTGGAATTTTTGTAATATTTTCAGTCTTGTACAAAAATTTTAGTGAACGGACGTGTTGTGCGATGCTATTTTCAGCCCAAACGGGCTTTTACACGACATGCATTTGCATATGTAAGTGCTATTTTTTTGTATGTCCCCGTATATTAAAATGTATCAGAAAAGTAGCATTTATATATGGGGATCTTGTGAGAATGCTTTAATTCTGTTCCATTAATCCAGTAGTACAAGTGTATGATTAAAGTACGCATACGCTCTGAGAAACCACGCGTGTTGAATGGAAACGAAGGTTCATTTATACTGGCATGTATACACAGCAGCAAGCTCATGCCACCAACAGCGATGTTGTATGC